TCGATCCCAACACCCCGGGATCATGACCTGAGCTGAAATCAGGAGTCTGACGCTCAACCTACTGAGCCGCCCCTTAAATGGGCCCATCAACGGAGAAACAAAAGTGACACTACAGCAGACCCTGAAACAGTTACGAGGGAGGGAGGGACGCAGCTCTGTGTGACAGATCTCAGGTGCCTGGGGTGTAAGAAAAGCAAAGTGCTGAACAAAGACCTGAAAACACCCAACAGTGGTCCCCTTGGGGAGAGGGCAGGTGATCCAAGAAAAACTTTGGCCCTATCCGTAAAAAGTTTTGACTTTTTAAGAAGAATGTGTTCACATATTTATTCCAAATACTCAGCTCCCTCCTGGCGACAAGCAGCCGGGAGTGTGGGCGGAGCTGACAATACAAAGCACTAGTTTCCTCTGGGCACAGGAGGCAGAAGAGCTCGCGGGGCCTGGAACGCTGCACCCAGGAGACTAAACCCTCGCATCTCAGGGCTGAGGAAAGCCCCGGGAGGCCCCGGCACTGCAACTGCGATGTGGCTGACCTCTGCGCACGCTTGTGAGACCCCCAACAACCTCACCCCTGGGGGAGCCTCCTCGCCTCCTCCTGGAGGAGAGAGGTAACTTGCAGGCCTTGCCCTGCCCCCGGCCTGGAGAGGAATGAATTGACTGCTGGGGGTCGGGACAGAGGCAGGATCACCCTAAGGAAGAACTTTCCAACACTTCCAAACACACAAGAATGGAGCAGGCAGCCTTGAGAGGAACTGAGCTCCCCGTCCCTGGAAGCATGCAAGCTCAGGGACCTCTAGAAGCAAGCATAAGAACCCTAGGATTCCATGACTCTGTGAATCCTACCCTTCCTTCTGCAACACGTGGCACCAAGCCCTCTACAGCACTGTGTTCCATATTCCTATCGTGACATCACTCCTTTACCGACGAGGAAAGGAAGGCTCCCTCCCACCATTGCTCAGCATGACTGACAGATCACTGTGATCGAGTGGCAGGTGCAGCTTCGGATAGCTGTTCATTCACCTGCAAAATGGGAACTGAGTGGCCACCCCCAATCCCAGGAGGTGCTTTTCTGATAGATGTTCATTCACGTGCAAAAAGGAAGGACAGAAGGTACCAAATACTGATGGTCCTATTGCCACAGGCGATTTATCTGGGCTTCTGCACCTGAGGCCTCAGGGATGGCTTCTCACTGCTGGATGTTTACACAGCCTATTGTGAGGTTCCTCCATCCAGAATCGTCTTACTACTCCCTTCCCTGTAACTAAACTCTTCAGAGCCCATTTCTGTCAGGAAGCCTTGGTGGCCCTCGCCCCTGATTAGTCTCCCTTCCTGAAGTTCCTTTCCTTCTCCTCCAAAGCACCCTAGGAACCTCCACACCCTACCAAAAAAACAAAAAACAAAAACAAAACAAAACCAAAAAATCCCACAAAACACGATGCTACAGTCAAGCTTTGGATTCCCTGATTTGAGTGCAAATTCTGACTGTGACACTCTACCAGGTGTGACCTTATTATACAAGTTCCTCCCCAGTAAACCCAGGTGGGATCATCTTTTCCCCCAGGGCCATAAGTACCAGTTAACCACACCTTGCACAACTTTCCTTCCACATGCTAGCCACACAAAGATTTGCGGCATCAAAGCCTCTGGTTCTTTCTGGAACTCTTTATGACTAAGAGTTACCTTTAGATCAACCTTGCCTGCTTGCTTTTTAGATGCTATCTTCATAAATTCATGTTTCCCTTTTTGCCTAGGCTGCTAGGAAACTCAACAAGGAATCAGCAGCCTTCAGGTCATGACCCTGTGGTTCCTGAGCTTGAGCCCTGCTTAGGGCTCAGCAGCAGGGCCTGCCTCCCTCTCTCCTTTCTCTGTTCCTCCCCCATTTGCCCTTTTTCTTTCTCTCAAGCTTTAAAAAAACAAAAAGTAAAAGAATCAACAACCTTAAACTTGCTATAGAATCCTGGTACAGTGATCTCTTTTTAGCTCTCTTTAAATCAATCATTCCCCCTCCTACACACACACCAACAACTTTTAGAAATATAATACTTTAGAGGTGCCTGGGTGGCTCAATTGGTTGGGTGACCTACTCCTGATTTCGGCTCAGGTCATGATCCCGTCGTTTGTGAATTCTAGCCCTATATCAGGGTTCTCACTGACAGTGTAGAGCCTGCTTGGGATTCTCTCTCTCTCTCCCCTCTCTGTCCCTCCCCAGCTTGCTCTCGTGCGCGTGCTCTCTCTCTCTCAAAATAAATAAACAAGCTTTAAAAAAAGAAATATATTACTTTAACTTTTCCGTTGTACAGGGCTTAATATCACATTCCATTTAATGTTCTTTCTGGAACCAGATGTGGGGGGTGGAAATCAGTGAACACTGAAGTTCTTTGGGACATATTTAATACCAAAGAGCACATCTCCTTCCCAAGACCCTGGGGCCTTTCTGCTCACCCCTCCTCCATTTCTAGAATACTTCACCAAAACCTCTGGGAAATAAAGGAGCATTTGCTTTCATCTCCCAATTACCGCCTCCTCCATGCAGGCTTCCCTGACCCATGCACAAAAAGCTCATTCCCTGGGCACCTCCCTCACAAACTAAGAGCTCCTGGAGAACAGATGCTGGGCCTCGAGGGGGTTGGGGAAGCGGCGGGTGGCAGGGATGACCTCCATCACTCCCTCAAAAGCACCACACTGGTGCCCTGTGGGAGCACAGCTGACTGGTAATTAAGAGCATGAGCCAGAAAAGTCTGACCACCCAGGGCTTAGATCCCAGCTCCAACACTCTGTGAGTTCTTGAACAAATAACCTCTGAGCCTCAGTTGCCTCACCTATAAAATGGGGAGAAGAGAAGAGAATGCCTTTGCCAAAGAACCTGGAACCTAGTTCGCACTTGACCGGTGGGAGCTTTCACGGCTTCCCAGCAGCCAGTGGTGCCTTTTGGGGTGGAACCTGGAAGCTGCCCATTGAAACTGTCTTTTGTTGCCAGAGAAACAGCTTAGGAAAGATATGCTCCCACTAGTAGATTGGTTAAGGCACTGAAAGGTGCAGGTCTTCAAACACTGATGAGAGACCCTCAACCCCCCACCTCCAGTCCCCAAAGCACGGCAGGAGGGCAAGGGCAGGCCACCCCACTCACACCCGTCCCCTGGGAGTCTGGAGACCGGAGTGCCAAGCTTCCCCACCGGCCTCGTGGCAAGTCCTACACTCTATGTAGACCTCAGTGTTGGTATCTGTGCAATGGGACCCAGATGCTCAGGGCCAGGCTGTTGGGCCCACAGGGACCCCCAAATCAGAAACAGCCTCCTCCAGAGGGCTCTACCTGGGATCTGGCGGGAACCGAGGGGCCCTCTTTCTTATTCACTCAACTCCAGTTCTCACTGTCCCAACGCAAAAGATGCCAGACTGCGGGATCGCGGACAGGGCTCCACGTCACCACTGTCCTTGCAGAGCCCAGCAGACATCTTCCCATCGCTGCAAGCCCGGCTGTGGCTGCCAACGGAACAGGGTCCCCGTCTCCAGCCTCAACGCCACCGTCAGCCTCCCACCTCCTCAGAAACCAGGGCTTCGACCTCAGCGCTACCAACCTGTTTACTCCAACTTCCTCTCCACTCACCCATCCCCAAACCTGCTCGCACAGCACCCCACACTCTGAACCCCCTTCCGCTGCCACAGAGTTCAGTGAGGTCCCTCTCCGCCAGGAGCCTCCCTGGACTCCGAATTCATCCCCCTCTCCTCTGCGCCTTCCCGCCAAGGCTGGGCCTTCCCCACCGACTTAGAGCACTGCTCCCCATCAGGTGCTTCCTACCAGCAGATTTAAATGAGCCCCCAACCGGACCTCCTACCCACCCTCCAGAACCTCCCAAACAACTGAGAGATTTCAAATGTAGATTTCTGGGCTGCGCTTCCTGAGATTCAAATTCCAATTCTTTCCGGGGGTGGGGACCAAGAATGTAGATTTTAAACAACCCCTCCAAGAGAGTCTGAGGCTGGGATGGCGGAGGGGGCCCCAGGGAGAGATCTGTGAAGTTCTAAAACAGAGACAGCACTGGCCCAGGTGCAGGTGGGCAGACACCTGGGCCGGGGGGACCGGACGGGGATCTCCGACCACCGAGACTTCCAGCCTGGCAGTCAAGCTAGGACCTGGGGGGGGTGGGGGGCGGTAGGAGATGCCCTAAAAGAAAATGGATCCTGGCCCATCTCCAGTTCCACCCTAGTCCTCTGAAAACGGACCCTCAGTTGGTGGGGAAGCCTCTCGCGGGGACAGTCACCCGGCTTCCTGACTCCCACCTGAGGCTACTATAGGCATGAAACTGATGCGCGCGGCAGTGGGGCGTTCCCACCCGCCTGCCTCTGCTGGGATGTGCACAGGGTCGGGGAGGCATCCGAGCCTAGCCTCTGGCCTCCCACAAATCCCTCCCGCCTGCTTCGGGCGGGGTACCTCGGCCCCACGGGGCCGGCCAAACCGGCTGGAACCCGGTGGGAGCCAGAAAAGCCCGGCTCTCGCGCGGGGGCCCACGGGGCCGTGCCCAAATGTATGCGCCGGAACGTAGGTGCCCTCTCGACTAGACTCCAGACTAGTCCAGACTACGCGGGGCCACTCGGAGGGGACTCTGCCGTACTCGGGCTGGTGCCCTGGGGGGCTGGGGGCACCGCCCTGCAAACACAGAGACTGAGGCAGAGACAGAGGGAGAGTTGTGCGCAGCGATTGTGCGTCTGCGAGCGCTCCTTCGGTTGACTCCCAGCGACCCCCTCGGGGGATGATGGGGCGCGCGCGAGCGGGCCCTCCGAACGCGGGTGCTTGCAGGCTCTGCAACGGGGATGTCTCGAGGTGAGGGGCTCCAGGTGGTCTAGGGGGCGAGCGTCCTGGAGGCGCCCCGGGATAGGCACGGCGCGTCGCGGCTCGCGGGAGCCGAAGGAGACGGTGCACTAAGAGCAAACTAGGCAAACCCCGACTCCTCCCGTCCCGGCCGCCCCCCGACCCGGGCCCCGACCGCGGCCCCGCGCGCGCTCACCAGCTGCAGCAGCATGAGCGCACCGAGGCTGGAGCGCACGAAGCCCAGGTCCGGGCGCAGCGCGGAGACCGAGGTGCCGGCGCCCTGCGCGGGGCTGCTGGTCCGCGTGCTCACTTTCGACGGAAACTCGGCCATGGCGGCCCCGCTAGTCTCCAGACGTCGCTCCGGCCGCCGCCGCCCCTCCCGTCCGCGAGTGCCGGCAGCTGCGCCGCTCTCCCCGGGGGCTCCGGCTCCGGCGTGCCGCGCAGTGTAGGGCGGGGAGCCGCGAGCCCTCAGGTGCGGCCGAGCTCCGGCCCCGCCCCCGCCGCGGGACCCGCCCCTTTAACGCTTTGCTCGCCGCTGGCCGCCTACACCCACCCCACGCTCTTCGAGGCCGCGTCCCGCTTTCCAGACCGGGACACTGAGGCCGCGGTCAATGAGATGGCCCTCTTCCACAACCAGCCTGGATAGCCGCTCTTTTCTCTCGCAAGGAAAGCCGCCTGCTGGGACTCGCCCTCACCCCGGCCTCAGCCTTGACCCGCTGCTCCGCGCCCTCCTAGCCCGTCACTTCCAAGCCCAGGGTAACCGGCGCTGGCGGAGCGCAGTACCACAGGCCCTCTCCTGGGTGCCTCTAGGGCGCTGTGTGCCCTTCTCTCCGAGGTCTGTCCTCAAAGCCAGATCCGCACCCCTGTGCAGCGACGCCCAAGGAGTCCGGGAGACCTGGCACCCAGGAGGCGAGGGTCTGAGTAAACTGGCTGCACGTGATTCCACTGATGTGGTTTTCACTTCTGAACACATTGAGCAGTAACTTAAAAGATCGTTGAGCCTCAGTTTCCTCGTCTGTAATAAAGGGACTGTTGTGTAAAATAAATGAAGCCCGTGGCACACCGTGATGGGGGAGGGGGGTACTTACAAGGTGGGAGATGATGTTGGAGTTAGGATTTCATTGCTCCACCGGCACCCTGAAACACACGCACGCGCACACATACACACACCCTTCAGGCCTTAGAGGCTTGTAAAAAATATATATATATATTTATCAATCAGTGTTTGCAGAACCTCTACTGTATGTCAGGTCCTATCCCAGGCCCGGGGGATACAGCAGGTACAAGCCAGGCAAGACTTCTCAGGTCCCACTTTCTACTGGGGATGACAAGTAAATAACTGAGAAGAAGAAATAACTTCAGGGACAAATGCTGTGACTAAAATAAAATAGGAGGATGTGACAGAGATGGCCAGGAGTCAATTTTTAGATAATCTAGTCACAGAAGGCCTCTCAGAGAAGTGACATTTATGCAGAGAACTGAATCATCAGTAGAGAAAATCTGCCTTAGAGAAGATCTGGGAGAACTGCATTAGTGCAAAGGCCCTGGGGCTGGAGGAAGCAAGTCAGTCTGAAGAACAGAAAAATCCTTGGTGGGGCTGTGTGCAAAGTGAGCGAGGGGGAGATTTGACAGGTGGGCAGAGACCAGGTCCCATAGGGCTATTTAGAGGATCATATTAGTTTCCCGTGGCTCCCACCTGAACATGGTGGCTTAAAAAAAAAAAAAAACCAAACCAAACAGAAATGTATTCCCTATAGTTCTAGAGGCCGGAAATCTGAAATCCGTTTCAGCGAGTCAAAATCAAGGTATCAGTAGGATGGTTGTTCCTATGAAGGCTCTAGAGGACTATCTGTTCCCTGTACTTCTGGCTCTGGGTGGTGGCCTTAACCTTGACCTGTGACCTGATCTGCCCAACCTCTGCCCACCCAGGTAATCTAGATTACCTTCCATATCAGGAATCTAATCTGCAAAGACCCTTTTTTCTTCAGACAGTAAGTGTACAGGTTCCAGGGGTAGGGTCTGCTATCTTTGGGTGGCCATTTATTCAGCCTAGGCAATAATGGAAGGGAGGTTAACATTTTATTCTGAGGCCTGGTGGGTTTCAGACAGGAGGGTGACAGGATCTGATGGCTACTATCTGATGGAAGCTATCACTGGTTGATGATGACCCACCGATGGATGTCCAACCCGTTCTGCCACAACGCACCTGCGCCCCTCCTCCCCACCGCACACACAGGCACTCAGATGACGACTGCTTCTTGGTAACTGCAGACTCTGGACACCAGCCTCTCCACACACTGCAGGAGCCCAAGCGCAGAGCACAGCTCTTGGGTAAACCCTTAATTTTACTACGACACGGGAAACAGTAAGATGATTGTTTCTGAGGCGGATTCTAAAACAGTAGAGTGTTTTGGTTTTGGTTTTGGTTTAGATTTTGTTTTTTTGGTTAATCCCACTTTCATTCCTTTCAAATGGCACCAAGCAAGGCTCAATCACTGCATTGTGTTTTACTTTGACATTTTCTTCCAAACCAACTTCACTGGCCCTCCCTTGTCAGAAAAAGTGGGAAGGAATCTAGCCCCAGGCTGAAACCCGCCACCCACCCAGAGTCTCCTAGCACGAGCCTTAGAAGGTCTGGGATGGGGTGGGGGAATGGAGGGCAATAGAGAGAGCTGGGGATAAGGCCCAGAGTGCCTGTCCTCTCCAAGAGTGGTCCCCCTCCCTGGGGTCTAAGCAGGCCATCCCCACACAGATCACCTGCAGCGCATGCCTCGTCTGAGTTCTCAGTTTTATAAAGACTCGTTACTCTGGCCAAGCGCCTACTATGTGCTGAGCCTTCCTTCCTTGAGGTAGGATGGGGGGCAGTGGAGATTTAGGCACCGAGCAGATGTTTAAGGTGTACCTTGCATGTGCGGGGCACTGAGGACAAAACGGTGAGCCATCCAACCAGAAACCCTGCTCTCAGGAAGTCTGATGGGGGAGACAGACCATCTAGATATACAAACCCACAGATAAATTGATAATTACCAATAGTGATAACATTGCTACAGGAAAAGAGCAGGACACCAAGGGAAAGAATAACTGAGAGTTGGAGATTGTCAGGGAAAGTATAACTATTTAAGCAGAGATCTAAAGGATGAATAGGAATCAGACAGACAAAGAACATTCCAGGAAGAGAAAACCACCATATGTGCAAAGGCCCTGGGGCAGGAAAGAGTTTGGGGTCTTTGAGGAAGGACAAAAGATTATGAGCTGAAGGGACTGGGAAGAGATGATGTTCAAGAGGCAGCCAGGAGTCAGATTACCTGGTTATTAAAACTTCGGTAATGGAGTGGATTTTATTATTTAAAAAATAATACCCTTTGAAGGGTAGTTAGATCTTCTGATTTGCAATTTTTAAAAATTCACAGAAAGGTTCCCTTGGGACTCATTCAACAGCTTCCAGAAGCCAGCTCTGGGAAGCTGCTGATTATAATCAGCAACTATTCACTGAGCACTTTCCCAACTGACTCTACGCTTAATGCAGTAGGGTTGGTTCAATCACACCCACGTCTCCTTCACCTCCAGGTAATCACTGAGAAGAATGTGAGTATCCTAGCATACCTTGTGTCTTCTTCTCTCGCTACCACATTGATGTGGAGAACAAAGGCAAAAAGGACATGTAGATAAAATTAAATTTCCTTACGGGGCGCCTGGGTGGCTCAGTTGCTTAAGCGTCTGCCTTTGGCTCAGGTCATGATCTCACGGTTTGTGAGTTCAAGCCCTTGGAGCCTGGAGCCTGCTTCGGATTCTGTGTCTCCCTCCCTGTGCCCCTCCCCAGCTCATGCTCTGTCTCTCTCTCTCTCAAAAATAAATAAACACTAAAAAATTAAAGTTAAATTTCCCTATAGCCTGCAGCCCACGACAACACTCCTCCAGAAACTCCCAACAACCTTGGCTGGACTGTAGCTACGCCTCCAGGATCCTGTGAGTCGTTTCTTTAGCAAATGAAAATGCTTTTGGAATCTTCCCCAGGTCTTTACCTTCGCCACCCCCCAAGCAGATGATCAATTGCTCTTCACCATCCCAGGGCAGCACCTCTTTCTGCCCACGGGTCCTGTCCCTGTGCTTTCATAAAACCACCTTTTTGCACTGAAGACGTCTCAAGAATTCTTCCCGGCCGCTGGCTCCAACCGCCAACATTTTCCACATTAATATGACATGTGGAAATGTAGACACTGGCTTTGTGTGTCATTTTTTTTTTAAATTTTTACCGAAAAATAAGTTTATACCATATATATTGAAACTTGACTTGCACTTAATGTCTTGGAAATTTCAATTTCACACGAAGACTGACCTTTTTACCTGTCACGTAATATTTGATAGAGTGGCGACTACCTAATTCCCTATCCCTTCCCCTCAACTGATAGACAGGTGATTTCCAATAGTTCCTCATTACAAGTAATATTATATAAGCCTCCTTATTTACACATCTTTCCTCATATGTGAGATTTTCCATAGATCCGGTCTTCAAAGCAAAACCGCTGGATGGAAGGGTATTTACATATTTTTATAGATACTGCCAAATTTTTATAGATTCTACAAAAGACCATATTCGTTGATACCCCTATTAAGAGTGAGCTTCACCATTTGCCCAACCCCAATATGTGTGATGAGCATTTTTAAAAAAAGTCTCTTGTTTCCATTGGCATTTTCTAATACTTGGCTAGTGGGGCTGAGTTCCTACTTATGCCTACTGGCCATTCATATTCCTTTTTCCTTGAATTGAAGGTTTGAACCATATTCCCTTGTGTAGTAAGGAATTTAAATTTGCCCAGGGACACCTGGGTGGCTCAGCTGGTTAAGCGTTCCATTCTTGATTTCTGCTCAGGTTAGGATCTCATGGTTCTGAGATCGAGCCCCGCGTCAGGCACAACGCTGAGCATGAAGCGTGCTTTGGATTCTCTCTCTCTCCCTTCCCCTGTGCCCTTTCCCCCCTCAAAAAAAAAAAAAGTAATAAGTAAATAAAATAAATTTGACCAAAGAGAGGTCTGGTCTCTGCCCTTGGCTTCTGGGAGGTAATCTCTAAACCTCTGGAATGTCATGCCTGACTAGAAATGTCCTACTTTGGTTAGGGTGGGGTCTGGCCACACTGGATATTCTAACAGTGGGGCTTCGGGTGAGGGAAGCCTATCAGCTCATTTAGCTCCACCTGGAAAAGCTGGAAACTGAGATCAGCTATGTGGGCAGTCAGTCACATGTGGCTACAAAGATTTGGGACACCGAAGTGGTGGGTGTGCCTGGTTGGTAATACACCATGAGTCTAGTCACAGATCAGTAGTGAGAAAAATGCGTGGAATCCATGATTCCCAGGGCAGAGGACAATGGACACTCTATGTTTAGAACTTAAAAGCCACGCTTTTAAAAATTACACAAGTCATTGGTTTTAGTATATTCCCTATA